AGATGACCATTGAAAGACGCAATGTACAATGGTGTGGCTCCACTCTGCACACACCAAATGAGTCACATCGTCCATCGAGTCGAGTACGTACGGTCATTCCTTGATCGATGCTTGCTCCCTTCGCGATGAGCAGCTCGACCACAGCGAGATGACCATTGAAAGATGCGACGTACAATGGTGTGGCTCCACTCTGCACACCCCAAATGAGTCACATCGTCCATCGAGTCGAGTACGTACGTTCTTTGCTTGATCGATGCTTGCTCCCTTCGCGATGAGCAGCTCGACCACAGCGAGATGACCATTGTAAGACGCGCCGTGCAATGGTGTGGCTCCACCCTGCACACACCAAATGAGTCACATCGTCCATCGAGTCGAGTACGTACGGTCTCTTCTTGATCGATGCTTGCTCCCTTCGCGATGAGCAGCTCGACCACGGCGAGATGGCCTTCTTCAGACGCAATGTACAATGGTGTGGCTCCACTCTGCACACACCAAATGAGTCACATCGTCCATCGAGTCGAGTACGTACGGCCTTTGCTTGATCGATACGAGCTTCCTTCGCCAGGAGACAGCGAGCGATGTTGTCATGGCCGTACCAACACGCCATGTACAGAGGCGTCCTTCCATCCTACATGTCCATGAGTCACTGCGATCGAACGTCGACGACCTTGTCGGTGCTGTTGACGTTGGCGCCTTGGCCAAGCAAGCGCTCGACCTCACTCAAGTGGTTCTTGCGCACAGCGTCCAACAACGCGTCGTCCTAACCAGCAGTGAGCATGCGCTCGTCCATGTCGCGACAACCATGGCGATCGTCAGGCGAGAAGGGAAAGTGACGTGTATCCGGATACATCTGTCACAATGGATACCTGCAAGGGTCAATAAGGATAGAATTTGGTTAAACCTGACAACCTCTAACCTTTGATTCCCGCTTTTCGCGATGGTGTACGTATCAACTGAATAAACACATTTTGCGCGGCCCGTGCGATAGCACAGTAGGGCAACTTGGGGTCATGACAGCGTGGGAAGCGTCCAATTCGGTGAAGTACGAGTGGCATGTCAATGCCGGGTTTGTTGACTTGGCGTTTGTATGGAAGCGTCTCGGGCACAACCGTAGTACAACCACGCCCCACTGGGTCCTAGCATTGATCCGTGCACGATGGCAGCCCGGATCGACAATCAACGTAAAATCGTGTGCTACATGCATGTCTTTTCCGGACCGCGCTCATTGCAATGGACCAACGCGTGAGGATGGCAGCGCATGCTTCGGAGGCGCATACGAGAGATGCGTGAGCCAGCACCCGGAAGAACCGCTTTGTTTCAAAGCTATAGCTTCAATGTCTGGATGCTGCATTGGCGTCGCAAGATTGCACTTTTGGCGCAAGATCATTACACAAGACCTAGCCATGGTCAAGACGCCAGCATCGGGGCGCTGCGCAAGCGCCAAGCTGCGAGCGCCCTGGCGACAGCGACTGCGATCGACGCAGCTGAGGAGCTGCATCCGAATATTGCGACGCCAAGTCGATCGCTATGCGGCGGCGGCTCCTCCGGGAGAAGCTCGCGCGTTCATCGGCCCGCACCTGAGCGACAATGTCATGGACCTACATCACGATAGAATAGCTGGACCTGCCACTTCGAGTAGCGATTGAACTACCTCATCAACTATACGTTAGTGTTGCCACGATGCTGCAGCCTCTATGCGAGAAGTGTCTGGCTGTGCAGTATTGGACCCGAGTGCCGAAATGATGCGAAGGTTGAGGCGGCTAAGAAAGAGCTTCTCCAGCGACGGCTCTAACAATAACAACCCACATCGAAGCGAGATTGGGACGATACACCGCCCTCACCGCACAATGGAAAATGAATTTGACGTTGTTTCCACTGGAGCCCAACAAAGAATCCACCAGGTGCACCGCAGTATGGTTCCGGGCTGAAGGCCGGTAGCAATCCATTGCGCTTGCGTCCATCACATGTTCGCCATGCGAACAGAGTACCGGTACAAGAGCTACGACACAGACATAGCGCTAGGTTGCACGCGGCCCCGACACCAAACTGAAATCATAAAGCGCGCCAGGACCTGCGCAAACCTTCTCCACGAATCAAACCACTGCGCAGAGAGCCCGCTAGATGGCCCACCGGCCCTGTGCCCTACTAGTACTCCGCAGCGACTTTTATGCCGCAATGGCCGGCTGCCCGCGAGCCGCCAAGGACGAGATGTTGGTCGCTGTTCCTGCGCGGTCCGGGCGCCCGCACGGCCAATGGCGCACGGCATTGCTTGCGTTGCCTCCTCAAAGATATAAACACAAACCACAACGACCATTGTATCAAGTTGATATATAAACGCATTGTCTCATGGGCTCACCGCGAGCGCGTTCACTGCCATGTCGCGCTTGCGCTTCAAGTCGTCGCCGTGGTGGGACTTGGCACCGTTGTAGGCGGCCAACAGTGTCGTCTTTTCTCGGACGTAGAGCTCGAGGTAGGCCTGGACCTCGGGGCTAAACTGCGCCGCTAGCGTCATCGTACCAACGGGGTTTGTGTTCAACATAAGGTATAAGAACTATGGTCCTTCTTAGACGACTCGCCTGTCAGTGTTATTCGGGACGACCGCATGTGTGGCTGATTCGACTGCGCCAGGTGACCAAGCCGACTACGCCGGCCGACGCCCAACACCGACAGGTCCGAGACCAGTTCCCCCACATTCGAAAATATCAATCGGCGGGACAATTACTATCACTTTGATCATTTCTTTAATTTGTCAACTGCGGACTCGTTGAGCATGTCCCTAACGTGTACTAGTACTAGGCTGATAAAACAAAGGCACATCGCATTTAGAGTCTCAACAGACAGAGCAATCGACCAACCCACGATAATTATTCGTTATGGTCGTCGCACCGTAACCCGTGCAGCGCTCACGTACTCTGTACATTAGGACACCAACTTGTGGTACGCTGCGCGTGCCAACCATTTGGAGGCGGTCGAGCGCTTGCTGGACCACGGCACGGATGAGGTCGTCAACTTTGCATGACGGCGTATCTACATCTACTTGTACAGCTTGATAGGACGCCTCTGCACAAACGTGTCACGAAGGCCACCACGATGTGGTTTAGTCCTCATCGCCCGACGAGCCAACATCAACCAAGCAGACTACCCAACTCTCTGGATGAAGCAACTCCTGCGTTGTGGAAACCTGTAGAGTCCCGCCTCTGTATTTTGCATCTGAACAAGGCCACGACGCTGTGGTTCAGCTGCTTCTCGCCAGCGGAGCCAACGTCGACCAAGCCGACGAAGGACATCTCCGATTGCTTCACAAGACTTGATTTGACGAAATGGGACGGATGTAGAAAAGAGAGACTGCGCTGCACAAAGCCTCGCGTAAATCCAGCGTCGTGGCGCGTCTTCTCGGCTCTGGAGCGAGACGCGTCGACGACTCGCAGTTTTACGTATTGGAGCACAGTCATTCCCGTACCTCGACTCAGTACCAGTCGGATTTTACTTTTGTTCGTCCTTCGTCCCCAGACCACCAACGCGCTTCCCGTCCGAGTCTGGCCACGACGCCATTTTCAACGTCCATCAACCAACTGATCGATCAACTATGTTGCCTTGACATCGGATTAGCAAAGACTACGATAGCAACTGCTATTTCCCGACTGCGACGGTGCGTTAACCGAGATTAGGGTCATTTGGCCGGCGCTATTTTTCAATGACAATACTGTATTTACACGAGGTACGACTATTCTTTTAATTATAAACTAGGGTGGACATGCGACACGGTGGTTGTTATGCGGCCGAGCTCGACGTCGTCATGCTGTGCACGAGCGTCGCCATCTTCTTCTCGAGCTGCGACTCGAGCGCCGCACACGTCTTGTCGGCGAGCGTTCGATCCTTCTCGAGCACACTGCGCCACTGCTCCAGGAGCTCCAAGTTGCGCGCGACGATCTGCTGCGTCTTGACAATCACATTTTCCGCGCGCTTGAGCCGGCGGTCCGTCTCGCCGCCGTCGTTGAGCGTATCGGGCGTCGTCAGCAACGCGCCGGGCCGCGCGAGGTCCTTCAACGTCGTTGGAAACTTTGGCAGCTGCAGCGTCGCAAGCAGCGGCGCAAAGTCCGGGTACTTGCGCTTCGCCTCAGGCTGGATCTGAAGCGCTGCCGACTCGACGAGCCGACCGGCCTCGATCGCGAGCGGGTACGGTCCGAGGATGAACTCCTTCATCGTGTGCGAGTACTCGTTGCCGACGATGGTCGCGAGGGCCGCGCGGAGAAGCCCAAACGCTTGGCGGTACTGCTTGTAGATATCTTCTACCTGCTTTTGGATCGCGTCGCTGGCCTTGACTTCGGAGGCGGCGACTGCGATGTGGGCCTTGAGTCGGTGGACGTCTGGTACGACAAACGCGTTGAAGACGTTGTTGAGGATGTCCCGCTTCTCCTGTTCGAGCAGCTCTTGTCGCTCCATGAGCTCGACGTCGAGGTCGTCCATGGGCACGGGCAGAAGCGACATGGACGTCGACGGCAGCTGGCCGCCGGTCGAGCGCGGCTTGAGCGACTGGATCTGCAGTTCCGTGAGGCTCATGGACCGGCGCTCGAGCTTGTGCAACGTGTTGTCGGCGGCCTCGGCGTCGCTGAGCTGCTTGCAGAGCTTGAGCCGGAGCTTCTCCATGCGCTTCTCCTTGTTGAAGCCAAAGAAGCGCCGAAGCGCCGAGTTTTCTATCTTCTCCATCTTGGCGAGCAGCTCGGCTTGCGTCGCGCGCTTCTCGATGCAGTCCTTCCGAGCCTTCTCGAGCTCCTTTGAGAGCGCGACCCACTCTTCTTCGTACGGCGCGGGGATGTCAATCTTGCCGCCACGCGTCGACGGGAAGAGGCCCGTGCTGCGCTGGCTCGAGAAGAGCGTTCCGCGCGTCGTGCCGGTCGGCGTCGTCGCGCTCGCGCTCGGGCCACGGAAGCTCGTGTTGAAGCCGCGCGAGCTGCCATAGTTGGAGGGCACGCGCGCGCTAAAGACACCGCGCGACGAGCCGCCGGCCTTGGTCGACTCGAGGTTGTCCCAGCTGTGGTTGCGCTGGCGGCTCCGCTGGAGGCGCGCCATCTGCTCGAGCTCCATGTTGAGGCGCTCGTAGCGCGCGAGGAGGTTCTGGTCGATCTCGTACTCCTCCGAGACGCTCACGGAGCGGCCGAGGGTCGTCGTCGTCGGGGCCATCTTGCGCGGAGGCGATACTTGCTACACTGGATCGTCGGCCGCAAGCAGCGGCTTCTGCCCGCCATCTGCCACCTCTCGGTATAATATTATCTTCATGTTTGTATGGCGCGCACCTCATTTTAATGTGGCATGTCACTGGGCGTAATGGGCGTGGCTTTTTTTTGGCGCCGCATACAAATTCCAAGTGCAAGTGGCAGGGCGCAAGGCCATTGGCTGTCGCCACCGACAGCATTACTGCCCATATGTATACAAACTTCAAGTGCTTTGCATACCGACGAACTTCTAGCAGGAGGTCCTGCAGCGCGACGAGACCACCGCGCTGCCGCCGCGACTAAGCTTACGACGACGACGACGGTCTTGTCCCATGCACCGCCAAGAGCGAGGTTCCGGTAGCTGTAGAAGAGCTTGGATGAGGACCAATGGACCAGTATAGAGTCTGAGTTGCGTAGGATACGCTGGACAGAGGACAGACGATGCGAGTGAGATCGGCCGTGTGTTGCTGCTGTGGACACGACCGCGGACCGCTTCTTTACGATGCCAATCAGCGCAGGAGGCAACAATCGATGGTAGTGCTTGACCTGTTCTGCAAGAGAATGCTATTGCGATCGTCGGGCGGCGGTTGGCGGCGACTCAGGAGGTCCAAGGAACAGGCGTGGAAGAGGCAAGGCGGTGGTGTGGACTGCACGTCCAAGCAGCACGACGACTGCGATGGTCGGAGGAGATGCGTCATTGCTCACACCACGATCTCGCCGGGCACACGCTGGAACGACGATAGTGGAGTCAGTCACCCATAGCTCATCCCAGCGCATCGCATCAGCGTTGATATACCGCGTCGTTCCTCTGCGACTTGTTGCTGCTGTCGTTGGGCAGCCAAATGAATTGCTGGCTTGTCCCTGGGCTTGTCCAAATCGAAAATCATCCAAGACACCTTGGAGGAGGCAGGAGGTCCTGCAGCATCTCGTCGTCGTCGTCAACTCTGTCGCCTGTCGGTTAGTGATCCCAAGATGCGCCACGTGCGCGATGCTGCATCGCCGACGCGCCGCCGACCATCCACTACGATCGATACAGTAGGTGCGGCGTCCTACACTGTACTGTTCTAGACGATGGGGTCGCAACTGCGGCAGCGGCTTCAATACGGGTACCCGTCGCGTTGGCGCCAAAAATGCGCAAATTCCGAGTGTTATTTTTTGGCTTTCGGTGGCTTTTTTGTCCGCCGCAACTTTTCATAGAACGAAGCCAGTCCCGTGGTTGGCACGGATGTCGTGTCGTCGTCTTCCGGGTACGACGGCGCGTCACTTGTCGACGCGCTGTTGTCAGGCAGGATCTTGGCCGACCGCATCTTTTCGAGCATCGACGTGCGCTCCATGCACTCGCGGTGCACGGTTTGCTGCAAGAGCGCAATTTCCTAGTTCATTTCATAGTATAACTATACCATTCGAAGCGTGTGTACCTGGTCTTTCTGAGATAAGAGCTCGGTGAGTCGCTGGACATTGCCGGACGACTCTTGGTTTGACGGACTCTTGTCGACTTTCGGAGATGATTTGGCGTGACGGGGAGCCGACCGCGCGTCTTGAAGCGCCGCCTCGAGCTGCTCGACAGTGCGCTTGTACTGCTGAATGTCGGCTTGGAGTCGCTGAATCGAGGTCTCTTTTTCGTGGAGCGATGTGGCCGCATTCTTGTCCAGCGCTATTTGCTTGCGTTCGAGGGCCTGCTGCAGACCGTCGCGCTCCTGGAGCGCTATATTCTACAACACCATCTTTCAATTTCGCTGGTGGATAAATTGATACAAAAGAACTCACCTTTTCGCCTTCGAGATCGCGGAGTTTGCGCTCGAGCGCCGACAGAGACGACTTGACGTGTTGGTGGCCCATCTTGGTACTCTACCGGTTGACATATTGATACTTTTCGTTGCGATTTCGAATGGAATACTTGAAGCTCTTCCATGTAGCTGGCCGCGCGCTGCTTGGCGTCCTTGAGCGCGCGATCGCAATCGTCGGCCTACGCGGATTCGATTGCAGAGACTGCCACGTCATAATATGAGACAGGCGCACTTTTTTCTCAGCGATCGACGTGGCCAGTTTGATATGCCGCACGTGGTCGTGGAGCTGCTGCAGTTCGAGACCGAGTCGGTCGATCTCTTCCTTGGCAGAGGTTGCTGCGCCGTCCAGCTACCCAGAGTTGAGTTATGACCAGACAGGATGGCATTTCCTACTGCAATAGCGTGGTTGGACTTCAGCTCGGCGATTTCTTTGGACCACTCGAGCTTGACCCTGTCCATCGCTGCCTTGTGCTCGGCTGCATGGCTCGACAGTGTCCTTGCTTGCTCGTCGATCGTACTTTGTAGACCTCTAATTTGTCCCTAGCATCCCATTCCCTCCAACTCCCGTAACCACAAAGGAGACAGTACCTTGACTTCGTGAAGTCGGTCGTCGGCCGATGCAATCTCTTGCTTGAGCGTTGTGCGCTCGGCCAACAAAAGCACCTTGTTCTTCTCGAGCGCAGTCGCCTGGTGCTTCCACTTTGCAATGTCCTCATGTAGTTGTCGGACGTCGGCACGCTCGACCTCGGCTTCGGCCACCGTCCGTGACGCCGCCGCGTGGGCTTGCACCAGCTAATTTCTCTCAATATGAAATCTCGTCCGACAGAAGAGTAGACAAATGTACTTGGTCTTGGACCATGTGCAGCTGTGCTTTGGTCTGCGCGAGCTCGGCTTGCACGGCGGCAAGCGATTCATGTGTCGCCGCTTCGACGTGTTGGAGTTCGTGTTTAGCCGTGGCGGCGGCCAACGCGTAGCCGTCGACGCGTGCTTGTAGCTGCGCGCTCGTTGCTAGCGCCGCTCGCAGCTCGTCGTCTTGTGTGGCAATGACGCCTTCGAGTCGAGCGATCTCGGCGTCCGCCTTGAGCTTGTGGCTTGCGAGCGTCGACTTGGCCGTGTCGATTTGCGCCATTAGCGTCGCCTTTTCCTGTTGCCACGTCATTTGGCTCGACTCGTGAAGATGCGCTGCATCCCGGAGCGCCTCCACCATCTAATACAGACAACGCATGGGACGAATATCCCAAGTCATGGGAGCGACGCAACCTGCTGTTCAAGGCGAGCAATGTCTTGGGTCTTGAGATCGACTTGCTTTTCTGCGGCACCAACCCGCCGGTTGGCTTCGTCCAAAATCAAATTCCGCTGGGTCGTCAACTCCGCCTCTGCACCGCGAAGCGACGCGTGCGCCACCGAGAGCTGCTGCTGAAGGTCCTTCTTCTCTTGCATGTGCTTCTGTTCTACGGCAAGAAACCCTTGTAGTTGAGACGTGATGGCCACGACTGTCGCCGCATGCTCGTGCTGGAACGCAAGCATCTCGGCTTTCATGGTCTGTTGCTGCGTCTTGGCCACTCGCATCCATTGCACAATCGACTACAAACTCTGAATAAGATCTGAGATACGGACAGCGCCGACCTCGAACTGCCGCCGGTAGACCTTGGCGGTTTGCTGCAGCTCTTGGACTTCGGCAAATACAAAGTAGCTGACGCCGCAAAACGTGCAGGCCGTGTCGGCTTCGTCCATCTTTTGCACGGCGACCGGCAGCTTTTGCCGCGTCGGGCCATTGTACAGCTCGTCCTTGGTCGGGTCGCGGAGGATCTCATGCGGCTGCAATCGAAAGCCCGACATGCTCAAGTGATTGTATTTATAGCCATTTGAGGTTCTGGGACTAGGGTTAGGGTTCTATCCGCCGTCGCTTTTTCACGATGTATTCTGTCACCGATGCGATAGTCCAATCATGATGCCATCAACCACAGCACCATGGATCTCTAGAGGTGCTTAGCGCGTTAGCTAGCGGCCTGCGTGCCGTACGACTGAATATGCGGTCGGTCGAGGAGCTCTTGGCGCTCGGTCGCGTCAAGCGGCGTAGGCACTGCCGTCATCGAGGCCAGAGGAGCCATGTCTCGCCCATGGAGGTGCCCACAGTGCTTCGTAAAGTCGACGTAGACGAGCATTGCAGCGAGTCCCATGCCGAGCAGCGCCAGGCCCATGAAGAGGACGTTGAGGTACGGCTGGTACACGTGCAGGATGCTGTACTCGACGACCACAAACATCGGTACGATTGCCAACCCGACATTCTAACGACAATTGTGTGCACACTCGTGTCAAGAGGAATACCGACACAAAGGACGTACCAGAAAGGCCGAGGCAACGCCGTACGCTGTGCCCACGTGATGCGGCTCGACACAGCCTACAACAATGAGGTTTGGAGATAACTATGATGCCGAGAGCTTACACGAGAGAGCAGGCCACATGGCTGCGGAGAAGATGGAGAGCGCCGCCGCTTGCAGCACGACAGGAACGTACAGCGAAACGCTGGTGAATCCGAGGAGCGTCTGTGCGAGTAAGCACGCGGCCATACTTCCGAGCGCAATGAACGTGCGGTACCCGACCTTGTCGACGAGGTAGCCAAAGAGCGGGGCCGACACGGCGATGGCGAACGGACCGACGCTCAAGGGCCCGGCCGCGGCTTGTTCGGCCGAGTACTTGGCCGCGCAATAGGCTTGTGTCGATGGCCCGTGCTTCCACACATCGCTGTCGCAGTTGATATCGACGGCCGAGACGTATGGCGGAATCTGGCGACAGCTTGCTTGGTCGGTGGCCTCCATGCACGAGAGCGAGAGGAGCGGCAGCGGGTGTGCGAATGGCGGCGACGGCGGACAGGCCGGCGGCAAACTCGAGCAGTTGTTGTCGCCAGCGTACGCGCCGAGGCCGCAACGCTTGCACTCGGTCGGGAGGGCCTTGTAGTAGTCGCGCTCCATAAAAACACTGCTGGCGACGTTGTTGAACGGGCCCACGATCACATAGATCACAAAGAAGAGGAGCACGACAAGCCAGTAGGCCATACTAGACGAAAACGCTAGTCGATACCTCCATAGAGATAGAGATACATACCTGAAGTCCCGGACGTCGGACGGGCGAAGGTGGCGCTTGAGCTCGAGCTCGGCCGCGCGTTCGTCCGGCGACAACACCTCGTCGTCGATCTGGGCTTGCGCGGTGGCGTCAATGGGCGCCAGCACGAGCGTCGCGCCCAGCGAGAGACCGCAGAGCGCCGCGCCGACCCAGAGCGCACTCGTCAAGCCAAACGTCTCGGCCAGAAGCGGGCTCAGCGCGTTATTGAGCGTCGAGGCGAGTTTGGATATGCACAAGAGCACGCCATTCGTGAACGCTGCATCGATTATGAGACGCTGTTGCCCATGCAAGTAGAGAGGGTACCAAGTTCGTTGCTGGGAAACCACAGCGCGAGCAAGGTGGCTTGGGCCACCGATATGGTTTCGCCGCCGAGGCCAAAGACCACACGGCCCGCCTACAAGTGCAATGTCGTCAAAACGGCAATGTCGCAATGCTAGAAGGAGGTACGAGCATGAGCGGGAAGCTGCGCCATTGGTTGCCGAGCGCAAAGATGACTTGGCCGAGCGTAATGAATGACGTCATGAGCAGCAGCACGCGGCGTGGCCCAAAGCGATCGGTGAGGTAGCCACCAAAGAAGGGCAAAATGATGTTGGGCATCGAGTAGACGCTGTAGAGAAGGTTCTGCCATTCTGTCAAGGACGTTTACCAAAGGCACAGAGGAGGCAAGAGGATGCAAGACAGGCAGGGAAAGGATACGAAGTACATTTCGTACTCGTGCCAGGGCATGGCATGGAAGCGGTCCTGGAGCTGGTTCTTGAGCGCCGACGGGTTGTCGTAGCAGTACGAGTTGCCGACGTTGAGCGCGCCCGTCAGCAATAGCACGAGCGCCCGGACCTGCCACGGCTGCATGTTGCTCGACGCTCGCCAAATCCAAATTGCGAAACCTCCTGGCGTCGCCTTAAAAGAAACATTCTTTATTCATTCTTTTTTCGGAAAAGAGTAAAAGACATAAAAGAATGCGTTCTCAAAGTGTTTTAAAAACTTTGGTTGAAGCCACCGCCACCACCATATGGTGCACCAGCGACCGCTGCCAAGGGTCGCGTACGACGATCGCACCAGCTTGGCCACCCGCCGCCATGCGACGACCGGACGATGAGCTCCAGCACTCGGCGGCAACCTAGCGATGTGCTCAGCACAGGCGGCTATTGCGCGCTGCCAGCGTGCGCGTGCGCCATGCTGCATCGACCTCGCACGTTCCTACGACGAGCCATGGCATGCCACGTCCACGCCGCATTAGGCGGTCTTCGCTCCATGTAGCAAGCTATCTACCGACAGGTGCGCTTCA